TTGACAAGCAAGTTGATGAAACAAGAATATCAGCAGTCTCGTTTGAAGTCATCGTTTCGTAAGTTCTATGGTCGATACAATGACCTTGTCAGCAAATACAATATATCATTGAGTCAAATGCTGACGGACGTTTTTTATACTAATGGTTAGTCTATTATTTATACGCTGAATTGACGGTTTTTTCCGTTATTTCCTAATCGTGACAAGGAGCACACAGCGGGTGTGACCGATCAGCAGGGGATGCTCACTCCTCCATGGCACTTGATCCCACCTCTGATGTTTCGGAGGTCCGTGTTTGCTCTGCTCTTAATTTGTATAGTTTTATGGACTATGATATTGAATACTTTTCGTTATCTCCATATCCTTCTCCATATAAAAGAAAAAAATTCGAAGGGAATTTGGTTATATTCTAGCCCTCAAATTCATTGGGAACCATTTGTATGTTAAAAAACTTCATACTGCCTTAGGGTAACTCAATTTAATAATAGATATAATGGAATAAAAACGATCAGCTTCGATTGATATGAAAAATGTTCGAAATGATCGAGTGAAATAAACCAAATCCATCAAACAGGAAACGGAAAAAATGCATAATTTCCAGAATGACGATCTCGCAGCACTCACAGCAGCGTAGTAAACAATTTTCCATGAGAGGGCGATGTTTAATAGTGAAACAAACTTCCTATTGATGACTTTGTTTTTATAACTGAATATAAACCTCAATTAGCACTTTTTGATTCAAGATTTTGTTCAATTGTCCATTTAACTCTGATTCTTGATGAGGACATTTTAATAACCAGTCTGTAAGTTTGTTGTCTTTTAATTAATTTTAGTAGCACATTCTCTTTTAAAGGAATTAATGTCTAGTTTGTTGGGTATGCCAAGGCATCAACAATAGTCAGAAACATGGGATAACTTGCTTTTCATACAACTACACCGCACGATAAATAAAAGTCCAGGCTTTCTGACAGCATAAACAGCTGCTTTAAAAAAAAATGGAACTTATAAATTTAGTTACCTTGTCATTGGTTATTTGCAAAATCACTTTTAAAAACATTCTGATTGTACACATGTACTCTGAGTTGATATTTAAAAAAGTGATTGAGTTTCTGATTGACATTATCTATGTTGTTTTTGGAAACCATGTCTTCCAATACTCTGTTGGAATTCAATGGTTACCGATTGTGCTCCGGTATTAGCAGACCTTTTTCGTATTCATATGAAGCATAATTTGTTTCAAATCTTTTACATGAAAAGAATAAAACACTTGTTGTGGTCTTCAACTCGACCACGTACTGTCAATCAACAATAGTTATTCCATTCTTATGTCGACTAGATATATACCGGTGAGCAGAAAAAAAAGATACCACAGATTCTGACACTTCTGTTTCATATTTGGATCTTTTACTACAAAAAGACTGGTTAATGATTATCAAACAACAAAGCTTTATGATAAACGTGATGACTTTAATTTTTCAATCGTCAACTTCCCTTACGTATGCAGCAATATTTCTTTGTCACCTGCATATGGAGTTTACATCTCTCAGTTGATTTGATACTGAAAAGCATATTCTACAAAAGAACAATTTCTAACACGAAGTAATTTATTGACAAACAAGTCGACGGATCAAGAGTACCAGCAGTCTCGTTTAATGTCTTCATTTCGTAAGTTATGGTCGATACATTGACCTTGTCAGCAAATACAATTCAACATTACGTCAAATGCTGACTGACTTTTTTTATAATGATTGTTAAGCCATTATTTACATACTGAGTTGTCCACGAATTTTCTCTTTATTTCACGATTATGACAAGGAGCACACTGCGAGTGTGACTGGTCGACAGGGGATACTCACTTCTTCATGGCAACTGATCGCACCTCTAATGTTTTGGAGGTCCGTGTACTCGGCTCCTATTATGTAATGTTTAATGGGCATTTGTTTTCGAATACTGTTTGTTATCCCCACACATATATTTCATATATAACAGGAAAAGCCAGTTATGCATAATTTATCGAATGTTTAAAACTGTCGTTGACATCCCTGGTATACCCAACAAACTAGACAGTGAATTCTTATATTCAAATTTCATGGTGAATAAAAATAATAAATATAAAATATGTTTTTAAAAATGTTGTCGAATAGATTTAAAATACATGAAATATCCCATGTTAATTTCAATAGTCACCGCCCACTGACGTCAGAAACAAAGACAGCTGCAAGCATATTATGACCTTTCACTTGGTGAATTTGACTTCCAGGTTGAATTATCAAGAAATCAGGTCTCCTAACTTTCAAAGAAATAGAAATATAAAGATTATATATAATAAGTAAACTTAGATGTTAGATACTCGGATTTTCTACAATGAATTACAAGTATTGCATTCGGTCAATTGAATACAATTTGTACAATGCCTGCACATGCATTGTTGTAAATATTTTACAATACGATCTAAAGTTTACGAAAGGAAGCAAATTGTATTCCAATTGTCGACAGTAAGCTTTTCGTTTAGGGCTATAAACTAATAATAATAAGGTATGATTATAAGGATAAAACTACAAAAAAAATCCCTGTAATAACTACAATTTCATAATTTTTTCATATTTTCTATACATTATTTTTAATCTTTCTGACTGATCGTTCGATGAAAATACATATACACCTAGATTTAATGTTATTCCTGCTGGTCAAAAATATTTTTAAACTACTTGTACAAAGATTTTTTTCTCGAAGAAAGGGTGAGGATCAGAATCTTTTGAGAGAGTTAGGAAAATGAATTATAAAACTAGTAAATCTGGAAATTTAATTTCATCTGCATCTTTGAAAAAAGAAACACTTCAGTATTACATTTTAACTTAATGACAAGATTGTCACGAACGCTTAACTTTGAGCTTGGCTTACATTTTTATCACTATATTTTGACTCAATCATCTTTACTGCATAAGATTTTGATTTTTTCATTGGAAATTATAGTCATTAGGTCACAGTTTTTGCTTTCTAACAAACACATATACAATTTTGCATTCTAACAAACACACATGCATTGTATGTGTTTTCAATATGATCTTGGATTTTTGGAATGGACAGTTGGTTGCAGTGGCCTGGTCGGGTATGGGTTGCTGTTGTTGCTCTGTGAGGTTTGGGTTGGTCAGGTATGTAAATCACCACTTGAAAACAGATTGGAATTTTGACCTGTCTGCTATGGCAATATATTTATTTTTTATTTCATTATTATATACTGCTGTGTCAATTGTCAAAATATATGACAAATGGATATAAATTAGTGTATTTGAAACAGTGATGTACATAGAGATCCTGATTTTGTTAAAAATTTCCGTATTTTGAATTTTGATCACTTGTGTGGGGAGCGTCTTTTGCTTCAGGACGTCAATCCTCGAAGTTATCTGCTATGACCAAAAGAATTGTATTTGGTGAAACACTAAATAAAATTTTGTCTGTTCAACATGATATACTTAAGAAAATTGGGTGTTATTTACTACGTAATGGGCTCCTTGATTACTGGCGATTAATATTAATCTTTCTGAGAACAGCAAAACTTGGACATGGCGAACAGAAATACGTAATAGATTTGAGCATAAATACGGAAATATTTTCGTATTAACAGGGCTGCATGTTCGAAAATTATTAAGACATTGTGTATATTTTTCTTTCTAATGAACGTCTTTCGGTGAAAATTTGCATATGCGTATGACATACACTAAGAATTAATATAAGCAAAAAATATTTTACAAATATTAAATATTTGTTGTACAATGGTATATAAATGCGTCATCAGTAGGGGTACCCGGAGCAGTCTCGAAATCAGATATTGAAAATATGTAACACCAACGTTCTAACTCTTCGTGGACCCATAATAAGAGCGAAAATAATTCTGTTTATGTGTATAATTTTTCAGCTGTAATTCAAATTCATGTTGTGCAACTTTGTTAGAATTTTAATCAGGAATATGGAGATCATAAAAAAATTAAGCGCGATAGAGAAATCTACTGAGAACGAAAAAATGGATTTTGACGTCAAGGGCGGAGCAGCCATCATACCTAAAATTTTGTGTAGCGCAATGTATAACTCTTTTCCAGACTGAACGACCTGCTAAAATAATAACAACGAGAAAAAATAATGTGTTAGGGTTTGTTATTTCATTGGTATACATTTTTCTTTTACAATTAATTAAACCAGAGTAAAATCAAAAGCCCCGGACGACCATCAGTTATTACGTGCTGTATTAATGTCGTTACGGTATTAATATTGTTGACTTGCGTTGCATAAATTGGCACTGCTTGATTTTAAGTCAGCGTTTTCCACAAATGAAAATTTTACACTCAGGTAGCAACAACATACATTTTTAAGGAAGTGTAAGAAAAGAGACTGTTTGATTTTTGTACTGTTATATGTAATTACAAAGAAGGAAAAGTATGCATGCTTCCCGATCGTTTTACATGCGAAACCACCTCCGGCTAACGTGACGTTAAATGACGTAGCGATGCTGCTCCGGGTCGATAGACATATGCACGTTTATCATTTCACCGAAACTTTTCTTACTATCATAGGAATTAGAAATTTTACATAAGTATTTTATTCGTTCTTTATAAAATGTTGATGAATTTTCATGAAAGTATCTCCGTCCTTTATGGAGTAAATGTAATTGTCTCAATAATTTCCGAACAGCCCTCGACTAGTATATTGTGATAATGTTTTATACATGTATTATACGATTTATCGGCATGTTATTTATTTGCCGATAAATCGTATAATACATGTATAAAACATTATCACAATATACTAGTCGGGTGAAATTTCACAACCATACTATGGACATGCGGCAAGTATACCGAAAAAACGAACCATTCAAATAATAGATTTTTGGTATAAATGCGTAGAATACTAGTATTACTTATTTTAACCATGGCAGATGTTCTATCTGTATGTTCAATATAAAACTCACCTAAAAATTTTTATATTTATACAAATGAAAAAGAGAACACATTTCTTAAATTCAACAATTCATTTATTAGTATGTTTTACTCCTCAATCCTGTTATCATTCCGTTTGACATTCCATTTCCGGATTGAAACCCTGCGGGTCCACTAGAGCCCAAAAAAGAAGAAACCATATTGACTGAGGAGGGTGTCCTAAGTCCTCCGTTAAATGCCGAGTTTCCAGCAACTGAAGACGTTCCAGTCTGAGAATTGGTCATAGGAGATGGTAAGCCTCTGTTTTCACTGTTAGTAAATGAAGGCATTATGTTATTCCTTCCAGTGAAGGGCGCATTTCCAGCTAAGAGTGATGAAGATCCGAAATTAAATTCAGATGCAGGGATCCCCATGTTTCCATTGGAGTTTCCTTCTACTGCCATGATGGAAGAGGAACCGAAGTTAAATTGAGATTCATTGTGAGATTCAGAAGGGATGGTGTTCACTGGCGGCAAATTACTGCGCTGCTGAGCATTGTTTGGAAGGACTGACGACGTAGCTCTATTGGACATAGCACCCATTATTCCATTCGATGCGCCTATTGGTACCACGTTGAACTCGAATGGTCCTAAGTCGGAGTCAGAATTTGATCCACAAGTGGTCTGACATTCAAGCAGGGAACGAAAGTTGTTGTCATTACCACCGTTGCATGAGCTGAACTGGAAAGGTTGACAGGTGCCTGAGAACTGATTAAAGGCATACCTGATTGTGTATCTGTAGACAGGGGGCTGAAAAGGACTGATAGGGCAGCTGTTACCAGAGTCAATGTTGCTATAACAACCGCAGTTTCTGAGACATTCGGTTCTGGAGGAGAATCTATTGGGAGATCCTCCACATCCTCGATAGTAAAAAGACTGACATCTCTGAGTGAATGGATCATAGTAGTACTGGGTTGAGGGACGAGACCCAGACGGACAAAAGTATCCCGAGTCCACGAATAAGGTGCATACTAGGTATTAAAAACAATCAGTTCATTAAGATATTAATCTTTATAAAATCTTGAAAACAAGTGATGAATTTAAATATTTCGAGAGATAATTCAGTTTTACAAATTTCTTTCACAATGTGATGTTCTAATGTAGATACATTTTCAATAAAATTTGTCTTTCAAATACCGGTACAAGTTACAAATGTTTTTGCTTAATTGTCAACACTTTTTGTTCTGAAACTTGGTCCTCTTACTCGTTAATATTACCAAAACCATGTACCGGTACTTTTAAATCATGAATGTCCGAAAATTTTTACTTTAATGCTTTTAAAAAATATAATAAAAATATTTTTTACAAATAAAAAAATAGAAAAGACGAGAAAAAAAGAAGAATATAAATCTATCGAAAGTAATCTGGAAATATTTAAAGTAACTTCATTTTGGCAATCAATTGATGAATCATTCCTTAAACGCAGCGCATTAAGCAAATATAATATCACTATTCCTATTCTATCCATACTTACTGAATGGGACCCTAGGACGAAACATGACTCTTGGAGGCGGAGGAAGGGTAGGAGAAGGACCTGTACCAGGATTTCCGGGAGTCATGTTTGAAGCACCCATTGTCATTCCTTGATTAGTTCCCATCCTCTCTTTATTGGGCATTGATGACGTGTGCATTCTTCCCAGTACAATGGGAAGTAATGATATCCACAAAGCAAACAAATTCATGACGAAACCTGTAAGTAATTCAGAAATATTAATCTATCCCTTTACAATTTTCTCAATCGTCCTAAAAATGTCAGTATTAACAAATACACGATATAAAGGCGTCTATTTCTTTTCACCCAGTGGATATGAAATTGACTTTTTTACTTCTTTTTAAATCTAAAATCATGTGTTTTATTTGATATAAACCTACGGTAGTTTTCAACCCTAACCCTAGCACTATTTACAATTTTGATTTATTTCATTTCGACAGACTATGGTTATGTCGTTCAGCGCCCATACATGGAAAGCTGCAGTTTCAGCATCCCCTTGTTATTGAAGCCATTCACCTGTAGGGGTTCTCAGTGAATAAAAACGTGAGCCTAGTAATATTAAAATCAAACAACCTATTTAATTGACCTACCTGAAGTCAGTGAACTAAGAATTGCTTTTGATCTTTCGATTGAGGTTAGCCCATTATTTATATATTTTTAACTGTTCAAAACATGAGGTTAAATCCATGTAACACAAAACTTTAGGAAGTTGACACGGCCGCCTTGATTGTTAACGCGAGACAGCGTGATTTTACTTCAGTTGAATAGTGCATCGGTGTGCTTGATATGTATATTCCACATTTTCTCATTTTCTCCGACATTGCCTTTCTGGTACAAACACCATTCTTTTAGTTTAACAAACTATACTGTGATGTTGACAATTTGTTTCTGTGTACCTCATTAGAGGAAATCATTTAGAAAACTACTGTCTGCGAACAGTTACAGTTTCATTCAGTTGTAGTTACGAATCGGAACTTGGTAGATCAGATTAATGGCACCGCTGCATGATGTCAATGGATTGAAACAAAAGTATCTTGAATCATTTTTCTTTCTATGGTGTCAGCAGAATTCAAACTTAGCCAATTTTATTAGGATAAGTCACAACTTCTTTCTATCAAGTTTTTTGCCAAACAGATTGGTATATAAAACAACACTCTTGGACAATACATGGGTGAAAGATCGATTGCCCAAATTCTATGGGGCGCCGTTTTGATATTTACTGCAAAAAGGTGATATCACCTATTCGAATAGGTGATATCACCTATTCGAATAATTAAGTGATATCACATATTCCAATAGGTGATAATACCTATTTGATTTGAAATGGTGATATCACCTTTTCGAAAAGGTGATATCACTTAATCGAATAGGTGATATCACTTTTTGGCAGTAAATACCTAAAAATAGTTTCATGGACTATTTATGAAATAACAACAGCTCCCAAGACTATAGGTCTCTAAATCTCACTTACTTTCACTTTCCTTTTATAACTCATCGTTCGTGGAGACAATGGATAACAGTTTTGCATTTAGTTTTTAGCACCCCAGTAGAACTTGTAGTTTGTTTTGCTCAAAAATTCATTTATTTCACTTATCTATCATGTTTTCTAGAGGAAAAATGACAAATTGTGAAAAATGCATGATAAATGTTCTAAAGAGAATATGCCTCCTGAACATTATAAAGAGTGAAATGCGTGCCACTCTGCTGTACCCCAGCTGGGCAAATTTTACAAAAATTAAAAAGTCTTGGACTAAAATACAGGTGATAACTGGACAGTCCAAATTTTCTTGGTTCCAGTGGAAATCTATACAGTCTAGGGAGCATTCATTATTTATTGTTGTAAGAAATACTAATAGGTGATATCACCTATTCAAAATGATGATATCACCAATTCAAACTGAATAGGTGATATCACCTATTGGAAATGAAAAGGTGATATCATCTATTCGAATAAGTGATATCCCCTATTCAAATTTTTTGCTAGTAAATAACAAAACGGCGCCTAATTGTTTTTCTGGTTATTCCAACCAACTCAGGCTGATAAGTCGCTAAGTCGGTAGAGCGCTCGCTCGATTAAAAAAAAAAAAGGAGACAACTGTTCCTTAGTAGCCAGGCGCTCGGCACTTAGAAGTAAAAGTTGCGGGTCTTTCGAATGAGATTATAAAAACCGAGGTCTCGTGTCACGACGGGCATTGGCACTATTTTTTTTATTTATACAATATTTTATTCACAAATAAAAGTGAATGGGATTGGCACTATTAAGAACCCTTACTTCTCAATGGCCCCGAGTCCCGACGAAGGTCTAAATCCGAGGCCCTTCACCTGTATACAAAAACAACGTTTCCAGACACTGTTAACAACAAACTATAGTGATCACAGTTTGATGACGAATGCTCTGATAGTTCATGTAACAAACAGTCATATTTTTTTCTAGCTAATCCTTGCATAAGGAAACTGTCGTCATTTATGACGGTAGTATTTTTCGATGACAACAAGCAAAAGAACCAACAACTGTTAACATGATCTTTCGTTTAATTACATAATAAGGGTGAAGTTAACAAATGGTAATCGATCGCTATAGTTACAAATAATTTTTTCCGTGAACAGGGCAGAAAAATATGGACCCCTGGAAATGCTATATCTAGAACTATAACATGTATGTTGATATATATTAAACCTCTAATTCAAAATCATAAAATAACGAACAGTATTAATATCTCAAAATACCGAACAGTAATTATCTTAAAATAATGAACAGTAATTAATTTCATAAATCAAGTAAACAAACCTAATTGCGAACAGGGAAAATACGGACCCCTAGAAACATTTTATTTAGGAATAATTTAATTCTGGTTGTAACGCTGTATTTGATTGGATAAAAAATTTACTTTATATCGTATAAAATGGGTTGCATACTTGCATCAAAAACGTATCAATCCGCCTGATGTTACATTCAAATTTTGTACAAATTGAAGTCATTTTGTTAGAACAATCATCTTTTTTTTTTTTTTTACATCAAATGAATGGAAATTAACTTTCGCTTCGCGGTTTATAAAGCGTAAACTGTCCCAACCCAGTTTATACCGTATAAAATGGGTAGCTATTAAATTCATTCCTTAATAAATTAATTTTGTTTGTATTCTAGTCCCTCATGTAGTTGATGTCCAAAAAGGAACGCAAATTATTTCTCAATAATCTAGTTTGGTATGGGGACACGCCCCCTTGACAACCAGCTGAATCATCTGTATCAATGTAATCCCCTCATTTCCAGTCCTTGGGATTCATCGAAAATTCCAGATTTAATAAATGTACCTTAAACTTCAAACAGTAGCTCGATCTTACCCCATGTAAACAAACATCATGGCTGCTAGATCTGTGTATCAGTTATATTACCTCCCCTTGTTTCACATCACTTCCGTCACTAGGGATGTATTATTGAGCGGCAAATTTGAACTCATAAAAAGCAGCAAAATTTTACACCCACAGTTGTTTAATTATTCTAAAATTAAATTATAAGGTATGACTCTAATTCTTGACCAAATTATTCGATTATAACCTGGTTTGGGTCAGTTAACCTTTTTTTATAATCCGCTTCGCGGATTATAAAGTGTAAACTGACCCAAACCAGGTTATAATCGAATAATGTGGCCAAGAATTAGAGTCATTCCTTAAAAAGTTGTCTAGGACGAGTAAGCATCGCCTCTTGTCACACTCCATGTGAACCCTACGTATAGATGAGGTATATGGACTTTTGGAGTGTACCGTGTTCTAATTTAGTATAAAAGCAGTGACCTAACAAGGTTAAATATGTTAGACTAAATTAGACCCAATGATAGATTTTATTTACAAACTCAGTTTAACCATTTTTTGCGAAAAGGTGGCTCTAAATAAGGTTGTTAAAATCGTCATAACAGACGTTTATTTGTCAGTAGCTTTTTCTTTTTTAAAAACTGATCATAGAGCATTCTCTTGCGTATCCAATCAAGTGGGAGACTTAAACATATTCAGGTGGTGTTGGAATATTGCTACATGAACGAGGAAAGTCAGCGATTGAAAACTTAGTCCCGTTTGTCATACAGTCCAGCTATTTGTTGGCTATTATCGTAAACACAAGTAAGTAAATATCTAAGCAGAAACAGATGTGACAGACTCTGATCCTACCTACCTACCTACCAAGTCCTTGTTGCACCCAGAGGCACACATAGGAAAAGGACTAGGGATTTCCATTCTTCCCTGTTCTTAGCAATCTTCTCCACGTCTCCCCAGGTAAGATTAATGTTCTTCAGTTCTTTCTCTACCGTTTGCCTCCATGTTTTCTTTTCTAGTCGGCCTTTCTTCCTTTTCACTTCTGGGATCCATCTAGTGCCACTCCTGTGATGTGACAGACCCTGTAGTGTGTTTAATTTCGAATTAAATTCGAAATATCCAGTCGTCACGCAAATGAAAGTAACTTTTGTTTATTGCTATAACATCGTCGATATACATGTACTTGTATTTTTAAAAATACCAAGTTAAAGGGCGTAGGAATTTTTTTTAATTAAAAGTTTTAAAATATACGAATAAATTCTGCTTTGAAGGACAAGAAAATCGGATCGACTTATAAAAAAGGGCACAGTTGGTACCCATCGGATTTTCAACTGTTTATTGGAAGGCCTGATCTCAAAAGACTACATAAATAATGTCAATAAGAAACTCTAGATAAAATTTCTTATCACACTTATCATCCACGATAGTCGTTGATGTGTTACTTGTAAAATAGTTAAAGTATTTCATACAACATTTTACATGAAGTCCTTCACTTCAAAATGTAAAAAGAAAAAAATCCTAAAATAATTTTTATACAATTTACCTAAGACGTATGCAGAACCCCAATGGCCACAAAGACTTTGAACAGTAACCAGCTTAAAATACTAATACTTGTACAAATCTAATATATACGAATTTTCTTGGCAATTCTAAAAAGTCAACATGTGACTTTACTCGTTTACAGGAAACTGAATTCCTCGCATCTATATATTATTAAAACAACAAAATATAATAGCTCCCCTAAATACTAGTAACTTAATGGCAAGTATGCCTTCAAGTGATAAAAGATTAAAATGTGCATAATTTAGGATTATCAATGTTGGCTTACGTAAGTGTGATAAGAGAAACATGACCATACATACTGTTTTATCAATGAATCTTGTACTTCAATTATGTATGATATACATGGAGTACAAAAGCCATGTTCTTTTTTGGATAGAGGTAAGTGTAAATTGATCTTCGTTGTTTGTGCGCTACAAAAGTTTTTTTTTAATTTAACTGAAGTGAGTTTTAACAGCTTGGGCATGCGTTTTCTTCTTTACTTCACAAGTTTAAAAATTCAATTACTAAATACTCAGTAATGTAATTCTTTATAAAACCTTAAGTTAAATTTTCTTTTGAAAGAAGATAGGGGAACAAGGCGGGCATAATGCCTATCGCATCGGATATTAATAAATGATATTCAATATGTGAACTGAGTATTTAGATAACTTCTCGTTATTAAAATTTATGAAATTATGAGAGAAAAAAAATTTTCTGAGAGGAAAAAATCTCGTAAAAAAATAATTCTTTTATAATAATACATGGTGATATTCGTGGGATTCGAACCCTATAGCAATAAAAATCCGACGAATGACTATCATATTGCTTTGAGACTAACGCGCTAACCACTATGCTACATTGCTCATGATGATTTTGGGCATTTAAATCATGTTTGTGATATGACCCTAAAAATGTATATTTTATTGCAAACTTTTAGGATTACCTTTCAAAAAAATGGAGCGAAGACCCACTCTTATTGAAAAATGTTGTTAAAGTATGAGAAAATGATCGTTTTTGTTTTTTTAGTGTGTGTATGCTTTTTCATAGGCAAATATTTTCAGTCTATGTGAGATTTTGTAAATTGTAGAGATTTTACATAAAGTATACTTTAATATTAGATGAAATATCAAATAAAATATGGATTTAATTGAGATTAAATTTTTCACTTCTTATCTGTCGCACTATAGGCACTTCGTCCGCCTTATCCACCCATCTTTTTGGATTCATTTATGAATAAGTTTGAGGGAAAAATGCTTTGAATTAACAAATTTCAATTTTAAAACCTGTATTTTCAAGTTCTTGATACTGTAATAGATTTTCACCTGTTTGTTTTAGGCTATTTCGATACATTGTTGCGTCCTACTTACTAGACAATTTGTGACACCAGTCAGTGGTTGTACCAGTTGTCATTTCTATTTATTTACCTATCTAATTCAGCAGATATGGACATGTTAAGCAATGACGAATGTCAGTTTTGTTATGATAAAGTTATCTTTCGTTGTCTGCCTTGTAAGGTAGCTCTTTGTAAGGACTGTGTAGCTGTCCACATTAAAATGTCCTCCACGAACTCCCACAAAATTGTTCTCTCTGAAGAGGCGAAGGAAGAAAAAAGAAGGCAGCTAGTCAAAAAGGATACACTACCATCCGGGTTTGAAAATACATGTGATGTAAGTTACCAGGATATGGGATTATTTTACATTTGCTCGGAACAAAGCAAAATGATAAAGCAATTTGATCTCTCTGGAAAAGAAGTTGATTCGTTCCAGGTGACCAGAAGTCCACTTTGTATAACTTCCTGTTCTAATGGTGTACTTTATACGGAATTTGGTATAAAAGCAGTGATGTTTTACATAAAGGGACGCATCAAACATCTCTTCTCGACAGGTGAATGGCAACCTCAAGGAGTAAACACAACAAAATCGGGTCATATTTTGTTGACTCTTCGACGAAATAAAGAAGCAAAACTAGTCACACTTAGTCAGCATGGACAGGTTTTTAGCGAAATACAGCATCACAACAGAGAACCGTTGTATTGCGATCCGTGGTACGTAGTGGAGAGTCCCAAAGGTCATCTCTGTGTATCTGACCAAGGAAAAAGCGCGATAATTTGTGTGAGTAGTGATGGTGAACTTGTATTTCATTATTATGGACGCGATAATTCATTCTACCCACGTGGTTTATGTTCGGACGCCACTTCCCATTTTATTGTTGCTGATCCGTGGAACAACAAAATTCATTATATATCCTCGTACGGGGAGTTTATTTGTTATCTTGAGTACGAGTCGATGGATAGTCCTATCAGTATATCTAGCGTTGCTGATAAAACAAACTATTTTATTATTTGTGAAATCGGAGGGTTTATATATGGTGTAGAAATGTAACCTCAATTGGAGGAGATATCTTTAGAATTCTAATATATACGTCCTCTGCTTTTATCATTATGGTATCAATGAATAGAAAGATATTTTAGAAGTGAAAAGAAGAAAGAAAACCTTGATGTGACCTTCACCTCGACCTTTAGATGTATCGACGACGAATTGTTACAATAATTATTTGCATTCTAATGTGAATGTTTCATATTTAGATATTTTTCTAGAAAAGGACGTTAATAATTATCTAACTACAAAGTTTTATGATAAACGTGTTGACTTTGACTTTCCAACGTCAACTTCTTTACTTTTGAAGCAATATACCATCACCTGCATATGGGGTTTATATCTCTCAGTCGATTCAATTCGCAAGAACATGCTCCACAAATGAACAATTTCTAAAACGAGGTAAGTTGTTGACAAACAAGTTGCTGAAACAAGAATATCAGCAGTCTCGTTTAAAGTCATCATTTCGTAAGTTCTATGGTCGATACAATGACCTTGTTAGCAAATACAACTTTCCATTAAATCAATGATGACTGACAAAGGATGACTGCACTTATGGATCTGCGAAATTTGCGTGAACATTAACTTTCGAAACAGACATTTTTCTTTTAATTGCAAGAATGATCAATGTCTAACCTACAACTTTGCTTAATTACAATAAATAAAAGTATTTATTAATGATGTACGAATCTGTTTTCTAAGAAGGAGGTCATCACAAGTTCTTCAATCTCATTTCGTTAGGTCGATACAATGACCTTGTAGCAAATACAACTTTTTTTAAATCTGACTTTATACATAGTCAGCGCATGTTTGTCTATTGTTCTACTTTAACAGTACTTGTATATTTGTATTAGTTATGTTGTGTTCAAAGGAGATTAATAGACAATATTTCAAAATTGGGTGTCTAATTGCCAGACCACTGTAGTAAATATATAAAAGTGAACTTAGGTTAAAATTTAAAAGCAATAGAAGCGACCAAAAAAGACCCAAAACACAGCGTTAAGTGCAGTCATCCTTTCATACTAATTGTTCGGTCATTATATATCCATTAAATTGTCGACGGATTTTCCCGTTATTTCCCGACCATGACAAGGAGCACACAGCGGGTGTGACCGGTCTGCAGGGGATGCACATTCATCCATTGTACCTGATCCCATCTTTGATTTTTCAAGGTCCTTGTTTGCGCTGCTCCAGTTTTGTATTGTTAAATAGTCTTTTGAGCATAAGTACTGTTCGTTATCTCCCTATATTTCATTGTGAACGTCTTTTACAGTAACACAGATGAAGTTTCCTAGTTTTAATTAAGTCTTTGTGTAATAATAAATTCGACTGCAACTTACTCCGTTTGCAAGATCAATACATAGGGTTCACGCCAAGTGAAACCGATCATCACGGATTGCTTATTCAATCTTGGCACCTGATCTCTGATATTTAAGGCTCCGTGTTTTATTCACTTTTAATAAAGTTGTATTTTTTTGGTAATATTCGTTATCTTCACCTATATATTTCCTGAATCAGGAAAAAATAAATCTAATGTTTTAAAATATATTGGGTGTCCCACAGCGGTGCTTTGCGTTGTGCTCTACGCACCAACCGGATGTAGAATACTTATTGATGATGTTCTAAAGGAAAGTTACAAGATGTATTTAACAAACCGTTCAGTTTCGATATTCATGTGTTGTTTCAGAAATTCAATCATCCTTGAAAACTCTGTGGTTTGATAATAATGACTAGCTTTATATTGGCAAAGTTTTAATTTATGGGCAGTTGACTGAAAATTATCATTGCCTAACACCGCATAGAGTAATTTGATTTAGTGCAACTTTATTTTGATAAATTGCAGAGTCGTCATTTTAGATTAATTTAATTTAGACAGCTTGAAACACGTATCCTGCTTTTCAATATCGATTGTTTGTTAACTTTTATGAATAAATAAGAATAATTACTACGGTTTTTTTACAGACCTCTTATTTCATTTATTAAAATTGAATTGGAATTAGAATTGTTCACAGATTTGTTTCCCCTTTTTTATCATGACAAGGAGCACACAGCAGGTGTGTTCAAACTTGAGTCTACACTACCTGGGATGCTCATATAAATATGAACAATTATGGCCTATTCTTGAGGCACCTGTGGTCGGCCATCCCGCCTCTGGTGTTTTAGAGGTTCATTTTTTTTGCATTGCTTCTGATTTGATTAGTTTTAATGAACTTGAACTGTTTGTAATTCCCATACATGTATATTTCAGCAAGTTAAATATATTACAGTTAACCTTTAGTGTAAATGTATTCACATTACTAAATAAAAATCTGGAAAAAGCAATTCTGAAGTCTTAAAAAACAATTAACTAATATATTACATATGTTCCGATGTACGATATTGCTTTTAATGAATACTGCTATGAAAACTGTCATATTGTAAATTTGAATTTGCCGGCTGATAGTTAAAAGAAAATACATTCATACATGGCGTGGTAAATTGCATTAACTACAACTTTAATTAAAATTTGTCAACTTACTTGCAACTTAAATAAAACGAAATATTCTAGAAAATAATAAAAATTTATCTTTACTGTTACAGAATAATTTAAATATCCGTTGGGAAGGCATTTCTAACCATTGATAATGCTAAAATAGATACTGTTCCAATAGATTCTACAAAGTTATTACATTAATATTACTCTCTACTCCCTCACTATGTATTCATTTCTAGTTTAAAGTTGAAGTTAACATCAAAAAGATGCTTGAGTTTCTGATTGACAATATCTATATTGGTATTTGGAGACCAGGTCTTCCAACAATCTATTGGAATACATATGAGTACCAATGGCGCCCCGTTTTTTTGTTTTTTTTTGTATTCACATGAAGCAAAATCTTGTATGTGAAAAGAAGAAAAAACTTGCTGTGGCCTTTACTTGACATTTAGATATATCGACGACGTCTTGTCAATAAACAACATGGTAATTTCCATTCTTACGATATATCATGGTGAGTTTGAGATAAAAGATACCACAGAGCCTGACAC